TGTGTATACTGTATGTGTATTGCTCAGTTAAAACAAGTCAGTTTACCTGGAGACTCACTGGAAGGATACAACTCTTTGTTTTCCTCTTGCAAGCCCTCCAGCGGCACCTTCATCATTCAGGTTTAAGAGAAATTTTAATAAAATCAGTGCTGCCATTTAACATATGCATGTCTGCAGTTTGATAATATAATGTAAATCTTGATTATTTTTTTTTTACCTTGGCCTCGCCATCTTTGCTTTCTGCTATGTCACATTTCTTATCAGTGCTTGCATCCCTGTTGGGCACAGATGAAACAAGGTCTGATTTACAACGCTTTTTTTTTTTTAAGTGACTGTGACAAAAGACTTTAACCATAAAATCAACACTAGACCTTCAAATATAAAATATTAAACAGCTTCACCTGGTACTATTCTTCCTCTTCTTTGCCTCTTCCTCCTCTTTCTGCGCTGTGTTGAGGCTCTCAGCATCTGCCAGGTTGTCAACGGCGATGGCCAAGAAAACATTTAGCAGGATGTCTGATCATTTGAGTTAAAGAGAAAACACTAAACACCCCGATTAAATACAACTTTTTCACACGGATGTGTGCACACTTCGCAGGCAGTAGGATACAGTTTCCACAAATGAAGAGGATGATGAAGTAAATGCAGACGACCATTCCAGAGGAGGCAGGACCACCGTATGCCATGATGCCATCATACATTACTGTGTTCCAGTCTTCTCCTGTCAAGATCTGGTGAACACAATGTAGAGCAGAGGACGCCAAAATTATTCTGTTTGCCCAGACAATTATTTAAACTGTATTTATTGTCTTACTGCAGACACTTAGATTGGATGTTGTGATTCCTGCAAATCGCACCTCAACAAACAGACGCTTTGACAGATTAGCATTGAATTAGCTCACAGCGAGCTTTAATTTTGACTGAAACAATGAAATCAAACAGATACCTGGAAAACAGTGAGAAGGGCCTGGGGGAAGTTATCAAAAGTGCTTCTTTTAGTCACAGTTTCATCAAAGTTAAACTTTCCCCCAAAAAGCTGCATGCCAAGCAGGGAAAAGATAATGATGAAGAGGAAAAGAAGCAGCAACAGGGATGCGATGGACTTCATGGAGTTGAGGAGAGAGGCCACCAGGTTACTGAGAGATGCCCAGTGACTGAGGAAGAAACAAACAATAAGGCATTATGTCTTGTCAATACGCTCAACTTAGCCACCTGGTATCAGACATGCTGTAGTCAGTTAATATGCTCACGGATGCCTGAATCCTTCGGTTTGTTTGAAATAAGTGTCATCAGCCTTATGTGAAAGATTTACAGTGAGATCTTTCACGTGTTCTCATGTAACAGATCACTTTTGGCAATAGTCGGGGAGAAAGCACTTCCTTATTTTCTGAGCTTCATACAAGTGATACATTTTATGTACAAAATAAAAGGCTTTTTTCTGTCAGTGAGAGATTAAATGTTGCTTACGTTAGTTGCACTCTAAGCTCACGTGTATAAGTCTGAAAACTGAATTTAAAAAAACTACAAACAAATTTTAAAAGCCCATATTTGAATCAAAAGACGGGGTTTTAAACATCTTACGTCCAGAGATCACATGACTTTCTGTTGTTGTTTTTTTTTAAAGATTTAATAGTTTTGTCTTTGCTCTGTGTTAAATAGAACCCTCAGACATTCCCATTGATGGATTACTGGTCATGTCTGTAACAGGCTGTGCCAGTGGAGGTTCGCTGGTCTGATGCCTGTATTAAATAGATTATTATTCATCCATGTATCCATCCTCTTCTGCCTATATTTTTCAGGGTCGCTGGAACCTATATATGAATATATTATAATATATTTAAATGTTTTGTTTTTAAATGTAATTAGGGGACATTTCATAGACCTCATGCACTTTTGAATTCTCATCTTTTGTGTGACTTTTTTAAATTTGACTTTTTTTTTTTTTTTCTTTGACTTATGTTCAGTTCAGCACAAACCTTGTTAATAAAGGTGCTATATAAACATTAGTATTATTAATATTATTGTCATTGTCAGTAGTAGTATTAGTGCGGGAATTGCTCACCGTGTGACTTTGAAGATTCGAAGGAGGCGTACGCAGCGCAATACAGAGATACCCAAAGGAGACATGATCGCTAACTCCACCAGGATGGTCTCTACGATGCCGCCACACACCACGAAACAGTCAAAGCGGTTAAACAGGGATACAAAGTAGGCCTGCAATCCCAAGCTGTACATTTTCACCAGCATCTCCAAGGTGAACAAGGCCAGAAGAACTTTGTTGGCAACATCTGGAGAAAAAAGCGGGATAAAAACAATGCTAAGTCTAAATGCACGTTGTAGGATAGCGTGGAGCAAACAGAGCAAAGCACATACCCTGTACTTCAGTCAGCCAGTCTGGCTGGTTGTAGTGCTCAGACGAGATAGTAAGAGTGTTGAGGAACACCAAGATGATGACGAGCCAATAAAAGGTCACCGATTTCACAGCTGCGCGACACTTCCTGCGGCAGAAACGGTTCCATCGACGCCACTGGCGGCTGAAGGCGATCAGTGTCACATGTTTAGGTTTTTGCTTTTTGTATTGCTATTTATTGGATTATTTGATTGGTGAAATACAATAAAAGCAACTTCATTATGATTCCAAAGGGGAAAAAGTTGATTAGGAGGAAAAGAGGGTAGGTTTCAGGTGCATAAACACAATGATTACATTTAGGGGAAAAAAAACACAGATGAAAACATCAGCGGTCTGAACAATTAAAACATGATGCCATAATCAACCATGCAAGATGAGACAAGTCCAGTAAATGATGAACAAAGCTACCATGCAGCACCACAACGGGGTACCAACCTGCACTTTGATTTAGTAATTTTTTGACTGGGGAGAATAAAAAGAAGCAACTTTTAATTAAATGTAACAGCATGTGCAAATGTGCACTCTGCAATCCAATCAAACGAGTTTTAATATTACTGACTGTCAATTACCAGACAGCCTAAGCTGTCAATAAAAATTTAGAGTGAAACGTGTAATGAGTAACATATACAGCACTCACCACAGTGGACCACAGCATGGTGATTTGTCTTCCTCTCCGTTGTGATTGTCTGTGGTCACTGATTCTGTCTCACTTGTGGGTATGCTCGCTGTCATGTCGCACACACACATACAAATACACACACGTAAAGACACGTTAATGGATAAAGTTTATGTTATGTTTATGTCTGTTATGTTATGACTGATTATCTTATTTATATCCATGCATTTTTGATTTGGCTTGGTTCTCGAGTGATAAAATATCCTTCAAAATGAATGTGACTTTTTTAAAAATCTGACAAACAAAGCCCAAATAAACACTCTAATCAGTCGTTACAGCAAAACAATACATTATAATGTTGTGTTCAGATTTCAGCTTGTGATTATTTAACATGGACTCCATTGATCTCTTTTTTTTATTAGGAAGGCCAAGCCAAACCACCAGAATTTTTTTTTTAAAAATGAAACAGCAAAATCTGCAAGTGTCAGATAAAAATGCTGGAGTGACTGCCTGACAAAGTTTGACCCATGGATGTTGGAGTTTCACAGTGTGAAACCAGCTGTAATGCTTGTGAGCACTGCAAAAAGATGAAGCTCAAGGTTTTTGCACAGATCTAGTAACAGTGAATACATGCTGCCAGTCCAGAGTCAAACTAAATTTGATAGATTATTATTTATTGGACTGGAACTGGAAATCCATTTTCCATGGTGAGGTTTGAAATACCACTGACTGCAGTGTTCAGATGCATCAATTATTCTTGTCCAGGTATGTCATGCGTATACACATTAGAATTCACATTTACTGTACATGCACAAAATATAGTTGCAATTGAAAACGTGACTCAAAATGATGATGATGATGATGATGATGATGATGATGATGAAGATGCCATTATTATGGTAATGATGATGAGAAAACCATGTGGCAGTTCTAGATAAAATTCTATGTTTCCCCTCAGTCATCATTAAAAAATGGTAAATTATTGTTTATTAAGAGATTAAATTATAATTCATAATGTACACTAATGTGCTAATAATTGGTTTCTACAGTTGCGTATGATAATTATCTGTGTTGTTAGATAACTGTTATATCTTAATGGTTATTGGAAAGTTTAAACTAATGTCTATAACTCTTTGTAAATAAATCAAAGTAATAATTAGATTCTCTTATCACCTATTATAACATAAGCAATGTATTACAATAAAGTTATTTTGTAGAAAAATACACTTAAATCTATTAAAATAAAAATAACTATTAACAATAATAATGAGTAATAACTAATTTATTACTCATTATAATGTATACAAGTATATATTTTTTGCAGTTTTACTTTCATGGTAAACATTAAAATAACTATTTACAAAACTTCAATTTACAATTTATTTTACAACATATAGGTGATGTTGATTATTAGAACTAAATTTTAATAATTTTGTAGCTAAGGTATTTTTCTTCTGACTCAAAATACTGAAAATCTAGTTATAGTATTAACTAACAACATTAATATTAGATAACTATACCCTATACTTACATGGCAATACAGTAAATATGAGCTAAATAAATTTCGCTGACATTTAACACTCACATATTATACATGTAAGTACATTTTGGGGCAACAAAATGCCAACATTTACATTTTAAGTACTTTAAGGGAGCTCATTTTTAGTTATGTTATATATTTTAAAGTTAAGGCTTGTTGGTGCATATACTAATAACATTATTTATTTTCAATGCCATATATTTTTAGAGTTTCACAGGATATTTATCATTTTAAGTGAGGCTTATTGTTGTTATCTTGATGGTTTTATACTTACTAAAGTATGCATTGTGAATTAGGCTTACATTCACATGCGCCCACACACATATGTATGTAAAACAATGTTCAATGTGGTGTGTGGGTGGTATTAGGAATATCAGTGTTACTAATTCTTCAGTTAAATAAAAATATATAATTTTTCTCTAAACTGCTCTAAACGGGTCACACTCCATTTTCTTTTTCCTTTCCTTTCATGTGCTGTAAAATTCAAAATCTTTAAAGCATTTCACTGGAAGTTGGACTGTCCTGTTATGCCAGTGCAGTAATAGAATAACATGTATGTGTTGAAGATGGTAAGGATCAGAAACCGACTAATAAAGGAAAGGGTGTTTAAATACGAGAGCACACACAAAGCATAAGCAAAGCACATGCAGGTGATGAACCGTCCCGGTGAAGATGTGCGGGGAAATTCAGACTTTCAGACACTCGCGCGCACACACATTTACCCTGTGTCTCTGTGGACTGAGTGAACCAGCCAAACTTTCCTTTCTTCTTCTCAGTAAGGTCAGCCAGCGTGACCCCTTGGTGTTATCAACATGCAGATCATACAGCCAGACAGCAGAGGAAGCAGTGAGTCAGTACACAGCACAACAAGAGAGAGAGGAATGTACAGCAAGAGACAGCTGCAATACAAGCTACTGGCACAGCTACCGTGTCCAGAAAAGTATACAGGACATTCTTGAATTATATTTAGTGGATTAACTACTAATAATAATACACTAACTACATTTATTTATGCATGAATTGTGTGTGTAAAAATTAATTCATTATTGCTCCTTGGGAAAAAGTGACTGGCAGTAAGGAGTAAAAAGACCAAATAAGGATGTAGATTTGAAGACAGCAGACCATTTAGAGAGATAACATGATGAACATAAAGGCATAATTATGATATATATCAGCTCATAAATTATGTACTTGTATTAGTATTAATATCAGCAAATAAATAAGACAGTCAAGGACATTCGTTTTTTAAATGTGTCATCATAAGATTGTCCATGACTATAAAGTGTCCCGCTGAGTACATGAAGCAAAAACAAATGAAACAAAGCAATAAAAATCAATTATCTGTTAGACTGCATGCTGTAACATTAGCTCTGTAAATTCTGGACAGAGTAACTATTTAATACACTGTAACACAATCAACATTAAACACGACTTTGGAAAAGAGTAGAAGAAAGCAGAGAAGAGAACAATTGTGGGTAAAGAGAGAAAATGATGTAAAGAAACGAAGGGAAGAGAAGGGTGAAACAGGTATTAACAGCAGTCTACAGACAGTTTTTAGAAGGCGCACACACACTGCAAGGAAGTAAAGTTAGTGCGTCGTCATCTATAACATCGACAGCAGTGCTAAAAGCAAGGCAACTACTGGTGAACATAAAAACTGACAGGTACATTCGCACTGACTGCTCTGTGAATGGTTACGAGGCACTCTAGCTATAATTCGGGTCAGATGTATTTTCATGTCAGTTACGCCCACATTTTTTTCCCCTGCACATCCAGATGGATTGTGTTATAATTACTAATGACACAAGCTTCAGTCCCAACATTTGTTGCAAAATAACAAAAGAAAAACCCTGAATTCAACACATAATTTTAAATGGCCTTCCCGCTGCGCCATCCGATTTTCATACCAGACAAAAGAAATACTATGATTAAATGAACACACAAAAAAATAAATGTTTAAGGTAGAGAAAACAACTAAGGAAATTCATCTCTCTCTGATGGCAGGATGCTATGTCATATGTAAAATGTAAAATTTCTCCTGTTCATCAACTTTGGACTATTAGATTATTTAATGGCTCATTCGACTTATTCCATATACAGCAAATGTCAGAAACCAGAACTAACTGTTCAAGTTGTTCATACTGGCTTCTCCACCAGTCACAGTACCTAAACACACATGAATACAAATGTCAATCTGCAAATCAAGTTTGCCTTCTTTATTAAAATCTAAGAATTATGCAGATACTACTGCTTTTTCTGAATCTGAAAAACTTACAGCTAAATATTTTTCCAGGGCGTGCCTGTAACGAAAAATATATTTTTGTTACTACTTGTCAGTATTTTTTCTGTGTAATTGCTACTGCAACCAAGTAACATTGTCTGCAAATGTAACCAAATCTAACCAGCAACGTTAAAATCTTGTTTATTACGGCAAATGTGGAGCTGAATTGCATTATGGTTACAGTCCATCCACAATACAGTGGGGCAAAAAAGTATTTAGTCAGCCACCGATTGTGCAAGTTCCCCCACTTAAAATGATGACAGAGGTCAGTAATTTGCACCAGA